TCAGACCCAGACGGCTCAAGTTCAATTGATCTCTGTTGGTCTAAACACTGCGTAGACTTCATATTTTGCAAGTTCCCACAGTAATCCTTTACAAAATCCAGACCACACTGCAAATCTTCCTGGCTTTCTAGAGTCTCAGAAAGCAAAGCTCTAATTTAGAAGAGAACAGTGCCTTAAATTTTAACCACACCTTAAAATTATTCCAGACAAACAGAGCTGGACACCAATGGTCTACTCTATAACAACATAAATGTCTACTTTACATAGTGGTATAGGGAGCTCTGGTGGCTTAATGGGTAAAGAGATGCACGGCCAACCTAGAGGCATGTGGTCTGAATTCACCAGCTGCTCTGCATGAGAAAAATGAGCAGTTTCTTACTGTGAGATTTACAGCCTCTGAACACCCGCTAGAGGGTCAGCTATGAGTCAGTTCTGACTGAACAGCACATAACAACAGTTATTAGTATGCCCCCCCACACACTGTACTGACACCTTACATTAACAGCACAGTGAATCCTCACTCTTCTGAAGCACCAAGGAGTACAGAGAAAACAGACTTTGAAGAAATTGAATTTAGATTATTACAAATTTTAATCAAAGAATAAGGCACTTAGCTAAGAAGCAGTCACTGCGATTTTTTTTCCTGTCATGTATAAAGAAGGCATGTGCCCACGATCTTATTACATCTGTGGGGACTCCATGGACAGTGGCCATGAGCACAATGTCAGCGTCTACCACGTGGGGAATGGCAAATCCCACTGCAATTGTTGTTGCTGCTGTTCTGTGCCATTGAGCTGACTACGAATCACACCGTGACCCCGAGAACAACTATTCAAAATCTTGCCCTATCCACCCTAGAGACCATGAAAACAAAGCTGAAATGCGCCCATCTCCGTATCTGTCAAAAGCGTGCTCAGCCTTTGAGCACCCAAGTCCCTAAGCACTTAAGCAGGAGACGGTCCACACTTTCTCCAACGGCATTTCCTGACCAGAACACGCCAGGGCACAGACTGACAGACACCGGGGTATAATCAGAGGGCTGTGACTCTCAACCAGTTCTTCTTTCTGGTTGCCCCGACCAAATCCAGCACAGCTTATCAAACAAAGGAAGCACTTAATAACTGCCAATGAGCCACCGAAAGGACTTTAGAAAGGACTCTACTGACTTGAAGCTCAAAACTGAGACCAAAGCAAACGACTCACAAGAACAGGTTACTTATGGCTTTAGTGCAGTGGGAAGGAGCGATAAACTACCATCTGGGCTTTTATCATCCCCTTGTTTTATTCCTCCTGTACCTTTAGGCAAATTGAGTAAATCTGACTTAAACCAGGCCACAAAAACAGTTTGTTCAGCAATACCTTCTGAAAATATCATTCAATGCACCTTTGGTTTTTATTTTTCTGTAAACACACTAAGAAAGGTTCACCAAAAAGAGGGCTGCAAATAGGCTTAAGTGATTTACTTTAAAGGAAAAATTGTTTTAAAAAGCAGTCTTTTTTTAAGAGGCAACAGCTGTTGGTTCCCACCTTATGTTTCCTCCTAACGCGTTTAGAGGAAGTCTCCCACAGTGAGGTGTGTGGCCCTCCCCCTCTCACCCCCAGAGGTGTTCTTCACAGACCAGAGCCCCACACAGCTCTGCAGCCAACTGATGGCTGAGCTCCAGCATCTCGAGGGGCGAGAGGAGGCACAGAAGCGCTGACAAGCGCTCACCAGCGCCACTGATGCAGAGAGCCAGAATAAACTCTGAAGCGGCTTCACACGCTTGAAAGGATGAGGCACAAGCTGTTTTCTCACATCCTCTGCCTCTTAAGGTTACAGAAGACCAGCCTCTGATCCAATTAAAATCCCTCTAGTTTATGTTTTCTCGGAGAAGGACAAAGCCAAGATGACCTGGGCTTGCTCGCAACATGACCAGCCCTGTGTGGTCTTGGGTGATAAATGAAGAGTTTAAAAAAAAAGATTAAAAATTTAAGTCATGACTGCTGTGAAATTGGTTATTCATGGTAAGGTGTTTCGGGCAGTTACAGCTGTACAACAGTAAATTGTTAACAGGCGTTTCCCGAAGAAAAATTTCCATTATAGATCACAGATAAGACAAAAAGCAGAAAGTCATGCTGCAGGGTGATCGCTGTTCTGACCGACAGAGGACATGTCAGATGTGAGGGAAGGGACCTACCGTCTCCTGACACTGCATGCAAGAAAAATGATACTTTAAAAAAGATGACATTTACTCTAATTGCTGCATCTAATTAAAATTAACGTAATTAAAAAAAAATTTCAAATGTGCTTTAAATTTCATTTAGGGTATAATTAAGAATCAGATTTTTAAAAAATATCAGTAGGGCAGTTGGGTGAAGGTTGGCACAAGTCGGGGGGAGGGCAACCATTTCGCTCTTAGCCAACAGGAGGGAAATGGCAGTCTGTCAAAGTTATTACAAGGGGACTTGTTTTCTTCCTTCTTCAAAGAGCAGAATTTAACAACTTGGAACATCTGTGCCCTTGCCTTCTCCAAGTATGCCAATGTCGAACAGTATTTCTTGTGTCATTCTTCCCCCCAGCAGGAACCAGGCTGGTGAATCAGCAAAACGTCAGGATCTTTAAAAAGATGCAACTAGTATTTTGAGTTAGCAGAGACAGGAAAAAAAAATGAGGTCCGTGTTTTCCAGAAAAAAAAAAAAAGAGGTAATTTCTGTACTGATCTACAAGGTAACTGGTGACTATGTAACGCTGTCAGGGGCAGAGCGAATTCCAAAGGGAAGAGGCCCTTCAGAGCTCAAATAGCACTTAGAACATTTAGGCTGCAAACACCAAGAGTGGAGTGCTAGCCTCAACCTGGCCATCAAGCAGCTGTCCAATACTGCAGGCTCATCAATTAATCAATAAGGTCCTGGGTGAAGTAATTTCTAAGGACTGTTCACATTCTGAAAACTGGCCATTCTGCGCCTACCATCCACTGCTCTCAGTCAATTCTGACTCATTCAAACTTCATCTCTGGAGGCACACAGCATGTGGCGAGCAGGGCAACATGTTACAGGCTACGCCACCAAGCTCTAATGAGAGCCTACAGGACAGAGTGGAACAGCTCTCACAGCATTCTCAAGGCTATAACCTTTAAGAGCTGGCGGCCACACTGTTCTCCTGCGCGGTGGCTGGCGGGTTCCAACTGCCAGTCTTTCCAGTTAACAGGGGAGCACTTTAGCCATTCCGTAGGTCCACTGAAATGTGGCATCACAACCAGAATGTTTGGTCAATAAACCCTTGGGAGGCAGGGATCTTGAAAAGGGCCAGTCAAATGGTACATACCACTCCTCCCCCACAAAGAAATGGTACACATCCAATATATGTCTGATGTCCAAGAACAAAGGATTATTACATCTACTGCTCAAGTACTCAAGACAGGTCTTCCTCTGGGTCTAGCACATAGTAAGGACTCCAGAAATGTCTACTGTATAAAGTCATGACAGCTTATCTAAAGCTCACTCAGTAATAAGCTAGAATTCTCTTATAGCCAGAACCCCACAGCAGACACTGGAAACAGCACCATCAATCTAGGGGCTTGCAGGGAAATTCTTAATAATGTCTAACATTACATGAAGTATCAGAAACATCTGAAGATCACTCTTCAAGAAAGCCTACATAGAGATTAGTTACTGATTTATTTCTAGGAGAATTATCAGGCAGGAAAGAACCTAGTCAGACATGCTCTCAGGAGGGAGATTACCAGGAAGATGAAAATAACATGAAGCAGCAGCCGACTCCCCACGAATATCACTCAAGCACACTGACTCCACTTGTCTCTTACCTTCGGAATCTGGAGTCACGTAAAACAACTACTGGAAGAGAATTTGGTTTAAAGAATACAACCAAGATGACACTCCCTTCAAGAGCTTTTGTACCAAAAACGGCTACACATCTAACAATAAGACAAAGTACAAAGCGGCAATTAATATTTACTAAGGGCCTAATGAGGATACCTGGTAGTGTAGTATGTAACGTGCTAGGTTGGTAGTTCGAATCCACTAGCCACTGCACAGGAGACAAATGGGCCATCTCCTTGGAGACTTGACAGTTACGAGTTGGAACTGGCTTGACAGCAGTGGGCACTGAGAGGGGGCCTAATAAGAAGTCCTGATGGAAGAGTGTTATGTGTCAGGTTCTCAAGGGATCTGGCTTCAGCTGCATGCACTGCAGGACAAAGATGAGCAGTCTCCTCCCATACAGAGTCACAGCCTCGGAAACGTGATCAAAGCTTGTTCTCATGGGTCAGGAACAATTCAACAGTGGTAGGTTTTCTTTAGTGCCTACTATAACTCTCAATCTCACAGAATAGCATAGTGACTGTCACAATTAGAACTCATACCAACCCTCCAGGACAGAGCAGAGCTGCTTCACAGGGTTTCTAAGACGGTAATCTCTACAGAAACAAAGTGTCACATCTTTCTCCCATGGAGATGCTGGTGGGCTTGAACTACTCACCTTTTGGTTAGCAACTGAGTACTTAACCATTTGGCCACCAGGGCTCCTAGTAGGAATACAGCAGAAGACAATACAACACAAAACAAAATCCTTGTCCTCCTGGAACATTCTAATGTGCATTTCACCATAGCTGACTTCCTCCAGTTTCCACCCACGGGGCCACCTGCTCACAGAATGCTATCTAGATCAACAGATTCAGGTCCTGTCTGGCCTTGCTTCTCTAATAGGCCCCCAAATCCAGATCCTGAAAATAAACGTCGTTAATGTGTGATTCGTCAGGATACGTTCGCCTACTAATAAGAGCAAATAGGACAATCAAGGATTGCCCAAGATTTATTAATAGAGAAAACCAGGTTTTCGAATGCGCAAAGAGCAGCATGTGTTTCAGGATGGGAGATAATTAGAATGGAAATAGAACACCAGACGTGAGAGCACACATCAGCGCAGACAGACAGGAGACGAGAGTAAACAGCATTTCCTTCGACACTCTGCCTTCCTACTGACAACAGACCTGAAAGGATATCTGTATTATCGTGTCCAAGCAAGCCAAGAAGAGACTGCACAGCGTTCAGCTCCACTAGAAGGTGGTACAGGTCTGGCATGGTGGCCACCACATGCATCTCCTGGATGATGTCATTGAGGTCCAGCTCTGACTCCATGAACCTAGGAGGGAAAAACAAGACAGCATGAAGGAAAGGAATGGGGCGCTCTTGGCACCAAGGGGCTGGCAGCGACACAATCCAGGCTGAGAGGCAATCTGTCAAAGTGTCTACAGCAGACCAACCAAGAAGTACGCTCATCCAAACATCATACTGTCACACAATTTCCTTGGGAAATCGATTTCCTCATTACAAAAATCAATCTTGGATTCAGATCTCATTATAGGGTTCCCCTTACTCTTGAAGTCATAAGCTGCCTTTTTGAGGCTCTCAAAGCATCTGGCAGTATTAAATCATCTGCCCACCACCAATCCTGGGGATTAGTCACCACTATCCCTTAATACAGGGAGCTTTGGTGGCCTAGTGGTAAGAAGCTACACTGCAATCCCAAAGGCATACAGTTCGAATCTGCCAGCAACTCTGAGGGAGAAGGACGGGCAATCCCCTCCCATTGTGACTAAGTGCCTCTGAAAACCTGCTGGAGCTGTGGGCTGCTTCCAACTCAGTGGCATACAACAGCAACCTCTTAACACAGATGCTCTGGTGGCTTAGTGGTAAGGAACTGTGCTTCAACACAAAGGTACTCAGTTCAAATCTGCCAGCTGCTCCACCAGAGAAAGATGGGCAATCTCCTCCCATGGGATGAAGTGTCCTAAAAGGCCACTGATGTATCAGTAAGCTATTGGTCAGTTCAGACTTGATGGTACACAACAACCACTACCTGTTGGTAAAGCATTCTTTTGTTCTGAACATAGTTATCCTACTAATCTAAAATGATTCTTTCCCATTCTCCACTTTAGACCAGGGACGAATTATTCTTCTTTCCTAAAAGGAAAGCATTCATTTCCCTCTGCCCCAGTTATTCTAGAATACATCCTTCTTTCCCTACAATGAGATGATTAAAGCCAGGTCCGAAAGTAAACCAAATTTTGTTTCTGGCATCCCATGTTGTCACTGATTGCCTTTGAGTCAAGAACGACTCATAGTAACCCTATGAACAAAAGGCCTGACATTTATCAAAGTTCATAGAGTTCCCAGAGGCATGTTGTTTAGGAAGTGGATACCACTCCTGCTTCCAAACCTGTCATAATCACATCCCTATCTTACACAGTGAACTTCATTTATTTGCCTGCACTTGAACTTTCCAACAAATCTATACTCAGGCACTAAGAACAGAACTACTTTGCATTCACCTCTGCATGTCCTCCCCCGACTCAAGAGTGTCTGACATATAAGAAATGCCAGCTAAGCTTTTGATGAACAAGACAGGAAGATTTGTTCTGAGAAGGAAATGAGCCAATTCACGTAAAGCAACTAAACAATGCCTGATTGAAAGAGAGCAGCCATTCAACAGACTTGGTTCAGCCCACTTGGGTTTGATCCTGCATAAGACATCCACTTAGGGAGATCTGGTCACCTAGTAGTAAGGAACTATGCTACGATCATAAAGGCAAGCAGTTTAAATCCATCAGCTGCTCTGCATCAGAAGGATGGGCAACCTTCTCCTCTGTGATTAACTGCCTCTAAAAACCCACGCTGGAGGGTGAGCTATGGGTTGGTTCTGACTTGATGGTACATAAAAAGCCACCCACTACACCATTCCAGGCCTCAGATTCCTCAACTATAAACTGAGGATAATAATATTGCCTATTTTTATGGAGAGATGAAAATGATTCAAAACATACAAGGCATTTAGGAAAATGCCTAGGACACAAAAAAACCCTATGTGTTTGTTTACATTATTGCCATACTACTATGTCTAGTATTATTCTTCTATGTCTAATGAGTGCTGCTGGCATAGTGTGCTATATGTTGGGCAGCTAATTTGCATCCATCAACCACTATGTAGATGAGTCGGCCTCCTTCCATAATGATTTATACTCTCTGAAACCAGATGGAGGTCATCAAGCGTCAGAATCAACAGCAGTGGTAGGGTTTGGTGTGTCATCCCTCCTAGGATGTAATTTAAGTTAAAAAGCCAGAACTATCTCTTATCTCTTTAGATCCATAGATCTCTGCTTAATTGAATTGAGACTGGAGGACATAAGCTGAGACCCTGGAAGTCATATAGGAGTCATCAAGTTCCAGGTGAACTGGGGAGATACCACCTCTCCTGAAAGGCTAGATTCTGTAAAGAATAAAATCTGAAGATCGTAGTACTCTTGCCTATACTCTAGATAATATCCCTTTCCGTGGTACTCTCATGGCCCAGTGGGAAAACTGTTGCACTGCCAACCCAAAGAAAACCAGCTGTTTCTCGAGAGAAAGATGTACAATCTCCTCCCATTCTATTTGCAGCCTAGGAAACTCAATGAAAGGTCAGCTATGAGTTGGTTCTAATTCAATGGCAATGAGCGGTTTGGATGCAGTAAAGGTATGTAGTCCAGAACCCAACTGTAATGAACACAGGCTGAACAATTTCCCTTACCATTACAAATTTGTATACAACAGGAAAAACTAATGCCTTGCTGCCAATTTCATTTTCTCAAGACAAAACCCCTCACTGAGTACAATTTAAGCCAGGCAGTTGCTGGAGCTGCCAGCCTATGGAATATAAACAATGTATGACATGCAATTAAATGTAAGGATGCCCAGAACTGGCCAATGAAGTAGCAATGGGAACACAAAACTCTACAACGTGTCCTGAACAAAGCTTCAGAATCCTTTTTCAACAGGGCTCCAGAAAGAGACTATCAATCCCAAACTGGATATGGGAGATCCAATCTATCTGCAATACTTAAATTCTAAATTTTAAATAGCTACAGAGTATCCTCTTATGTGATGATTCTATAATTTAATTTGATCAAACTTCCTTTGTCAGACATTCAGATGTTTTCTACTTTTCCCCTATAATAAAAGACACAAAGATAATGCACCCGAAGTATTATGCTAGGATAAATTTCCAGGAAAGGCCATGCTAAGTCAACCAATAGATATGATTTTGCCAGAAAGATGCCAATCGTATGTGAAGTAGATGTTCCTTTTCATCCTCTTCAAAAATCTTTAGTAACTCCAATTTGAAATGGGAAATAAAACTTATTTTTATTTTGTATTAGATGGAGGGCTGGTGAAAGGGAGATAGATGTGAAGGGAGGGGGTAGAAGTGGATGGATATCCTGTGGGATGGTGAAGCAGGAAATAAGTGC